ACTAGAATGGCATTATCAACAAGGAAATTTCGATCATTTGTACCTGTTGTTCCACTGGTATAACAGAGGCAAACTCGATCATTCTCATTTGGTGGCTAAATAATCAAAGTCAATATTTAAACAAATAAAAATTGTAAATCTACTGAAGATTAGCATTGAATTTAACTTACATCTGGGTTGCGAGGCATTTCTATTCCCTTAGCCTGAATAGTTGCAAAGGTGGAGTATTTACTATAAATTTTACGAATTGGTATAAAAATAAAAGTAGAGAAATCACGAGTTTCCAACGTTACGAACAATATGTAGTTTCATTTGGCTCTTGATCTCCACATACTAGTTTTTCAAGTAAGGATAAAGGTCGAACCGCTGCCCAACTACCTGAATTGCTGTAGTTAAGAGCATATTTCACAGAAGTGATGTATTTATTTACAATAGTCATGATCAGGGGATTAGACTTTTGAATAATACGCACTCTACAAAATGTTACTTAAACAGATATATCATTCACTGGATGCGAGTTGGTAAGCATAGAATCAATGCCATGAAGACGTACGACTTGAAGTACTTGCACACTTTAGCCTGTACGTTTGTTTGGTCCCCTTATGTGATGCGTGATCAATGGCACGCATCGCTTCCCTAATTGTCAAAGAAGACGAAGTCAGCCAACTGCCTTTTTTGCATCACTTCGCCAGTTCTTTACAATCTGGATTTTCTTAACTCCGTAGAGACCGCTTTCCTCCCGATTTCTCTACCTCTTCCACGCTCTCTTTCATTCTCTCCAAGTTGTGTAACACAGCCCTGGATTTTCTCACATATTATTATAAGGGATATTTATTCTAATTTGGTCTAGCTCCAAAAGAATCTTTGCATGAACTTAGAGTTACTCTATTATCCTCCATTGGGTTTTTAAACACCACTTACCACAATAGCTTCAAAAGCATGGATCTGCACACTCCCATGTGCCAAATCGCAAAGTTCTTTTAAGGTCGATTTATCCGACTCCACCAATATGATATGTTTCAAGCGACGGGGTTTCATTTTCACAAACTTTCGCGCCATATCGGGCGATATACAAATACACACTGTTAGTTCAGCTATGTTGTAAAATAATGAAACTTCATAATTGCAAACAAATAATAGTTTTAACGAAACAATGGAATACAAATCAACTTGCATTGATCACAAATGCATTTCATGGTATTCCTTCTCAAAGCATCGTAGATTGGAACTGCAACAAAGCCATAGGTTGCGCAAGCAAATTCTGCAACTACCCACTAAATAACAATGAGCAAATATAATTATCCTTAGCAATTCTGTGAAAAGTGCAAAGCTCGGTACTAATCAGAGGTAGAATTAAGACGATGATGGAGATCATATCTGCTCATTCTCTCGGCTGAGCAAGGCTAATGAGTGTACTTTGATATCTGAACGCACAAAGGCATTGTCGGTTAGGTACTGAGTACAAATAAATGCATTTTCAATTCGAAATAACATGCTAATTTCAACTACTTAACGAAAATTAGAGTAATCAAACTATTTTGAGAAGAAGTCACTCTTGAAGTTTGCTATTAAACAATGGAATAAATATTTGTTTCAAAATATTTCATATTATTATTTATCCCTTTATTGCATTCGGCCTTGATAGCGATTTATATTTTAAAAGAAGTCCGTTGGTTTTCTTTAGTTTATAGCACGTCAAATTCTCAAATGCATTATAACACTTTTGAAAATAAAATAAGAACTTATGTTTTTAAAGAGAAAAAAATCGGTGTGAAATTTTAAATGGACTTGGATCCAAACTCTATTTATTATTATTGGAACATTCTAGTCACCTCCAAAGAAAATGAATCTTAAAACAATTATAAAACTTAAGAACGAGTTGCAGAAACTAACACTTGTCATTTAGCTTATATAACGGATGTCTGATATTTGCTTTTACCCTATTTCATTAAAAAAGTGATAAGTTTACTCTTCTATTAACAATAATAAAATTCTTAAAAGATAACTACTCACCTCAACACAATTTCTGCCGCATATTCCAATAAACTTTTCGTGACAATTTTTATTCAGACCACAAGTTTCGATGAGACCAGATCCTAAAGCCCTTACTAGATCATAGATCTAGATTTGTAAAAGTTAAAATTCACATTTTTCATAAACTCTTGACAATGAATGGAAAAAATAGGAGTAATTTTATATTTACATCCATAAATCTTATCCAAATATAGGAATCCGAATTTTGTTCTTGGCTGCCGAGAAATGCTTTGCATCCTAATACAATTAAAATATGAAATCTTAATTGGTTAGGTATAAAATAAGTAACTACAAACAAGCAAATAACCAACAGCTTAGAGGTAAAAGAAATAGGAACAACCTGATATTCGAACGGCATTGAGAAGAAGATCGTGAACCGTTTTTATATTTCCATTAATAGTCACTGGAAGATCACCATTCTTAGCAATAGCCGAACGTCGAACACCTTCCTATGAATAATGGGAGGTATTGATGGGCAAGAAACTTGAAATATTTGCAAAGGAAAATAATAACATACCTTGGCATTAAATTGATAACCATTGTTAGAAATTATAGTCGGCACTTGATAAGAGCAGAACTGCATCCAAAAACCATTCGTTTTTAAAAATTCTAAATTAATTGGTTTATAGGAATTATATAGAGAAAATTACGTTAATGTGTGGGCAAAAAAGTTGTGAAGCACATATTAATTTATAGCCGTAATAAAATACCCGTAGAGTAAGAACTTTCAACAATTTAAATAAGTATTACGTTAGATTGCTTTAACAATATTCTGAAATAAAATTACCTTGCGCAGGACGCACATTGCAGAAACCAAATAATGTCTCGATTATATTCTGGGAAGGTCGTATATTCTGGTGTATTCAAACTTATACAAAAGTAAGTTTGCTTTGTAAAAAATTAATTATTCATTCGTCCGCTTTATTAATTTATAGTAATATTTTTATGGTTCTCATTATTGACAAGATTAGTTAAAAAATCTGTCATTTCTAATTATAATTCCCTCAATAAAATCCTAGTATATGAGGAGTATTAGTGATTAAATGGATCCTTTGAGTAAGGCCAAATTATCAAAATTAGTACTTAGTGCATTTTTTCGCTTTGGGCTTTACCATAATTACAAAATTTGTGAAATAAAATGTCATTATTTGTCCACTAGGCCATTTCAACTGCTTACTTGCGAAACTCATCAATAATTGGCAGATTGTATGTTTGAGAAGCTTCGATATTGATATGATATGATATAACGCAAAATTTTAAGTGATCATAACTTATCTACATTTCATTTAAATTTAATCGCCGTTAATGATCTAATTTTTAATTCATAGAATTTAATTCGTAGCATCATTATGTAACCACTATTTTTTCCCATTTGTACTGCGTACATTATTTTTTAGTTTCTCACCAAGTACCCCTTGAACATTTATTCGTTGATAATAATTGAGCATATGAACTTGCAATATTATCAGCTATAACTGATCACAACAGTAATGACTAATTTTTATTGTCAAAGCATAGGTAAACATTATTTTGTATTCATCATCTCTCAGAAATTTTTTACCTCTTCTTCCGTAAAGCCCACGCAATAAGCACTGGTATAATTCACAAAATAACCGATGCTCCAATTAAATTAAGCTGGACAGAAAGTTGTTAAATCTTCCAATATGCCTGTTTTAGGATATTTCAAACGTCAAATGCTTTTTGGAATTTTATCTTTGATAAATTTACAAGCACTTATATTTTCATGTGACATGCCACTGTTAATTTCCAATAAGGTTAAAGATTTTCAGCCCAAATTCACTAATTACATGACTTGAACTTACTCTTGACATTCAATACTTTAATTAAGTGCGTTATGGCCATAGATGGAATAATTCACGACTATCATTAGATGCCATTCACGTCTTGTCATCGATGTTATGCCCGATTATTACCACCTGCTTGGATATCTCTTGCTTGGAAGTGCGTATTCACAACTGGATCGGCTGTGGATTGTGTAGTTGACAAACAATTTTCGTACAGTTCTAGAATTTCTTTGAAAGTTATTTCAAGGCGGTTTATATACATTTTGACCTAAACCAATAAATATTCACACGTTTACTAGAGCTTATCAGGTAGTAAAAACAAGTCGATTACATATCTAGCACATTAATCATTATGCGAATATTATCGTTCTTCATGAATGGAAATTATGAATCGAACCTTCTTCACTGTTGGTCCTCTTTTTTTCCAGCAAATAAATCTAAGTATTATACTTAATTTCACATACTACTCATTATTGAACGAGTCCCGTCTCGATTATGAATCGTTTTCTTTTATTAAGAAAATTAAATGTGCCTCAGCTATTACCCATCTGCTTAGGGAATTATGGACGACTGCCTCAAAAGCTTAATTCTTCATATTAGGCATTCTCAGAAAGCTAAATTTTTATTGAAATGTCTTGGATTGGACGCTTAGTAGGCTGATTTGTTCCACTAGCAAAATTAAACATTCGGTTCCCAGCTAACTGCTCACAGTTGCCAAAGGCCATTGCACTGATCGGATACGCCTTAAAGAGGGGTGATGCTCAATAACTTCGATTCTTTCTAAATGGCCACTATAATATACTAGATCGAAAAATAAAGCCTTGTATTAGACACCAACTACCAACTATTTTTACCAAAAATAGTCCCATAGGCCCCGAACATCCATTTGTATCTGTGAATTTAGCAGTCCCTCATTTTCAAGAGCACCATTAAGACACAAAATTCAATTATTCTGCCCCAAAGACGGGAGGAGCAATAAACAGGTACATTTAGCCAGTAAGTTCACACAGGGACAGGAGAAGGCTTATATGTTGCGAGTAATGGGAGAGAAATTATGGCAATAATTTAAAAGCTAATCGATTTGCAATGGGGTGGGTAGACGACGAGCGTAGATGCCATCAAAGAGGGACAGCGTCAAATCGATAAAGAGCACAATGTCAGATGAAGAAAGAGAGCGGAATTCAAATTAGGGGCAGGAGAAATAGTATGCGGGTATGCGGTAATTCGATCATCGAGCAAGGGTGGTAATGAGTTCAGTGCAGAGTTCAAAGAATTCCATAGTCTGATGGCGCACTCCCACACCACCCGACCTCATTGCAGCCGGAGACATAGGGAACTGTGAGGGAGCGGCAGCAGAAGATCCGTTGTTACTGTCTCCAACATCCATAGGAATACCAAAACCACTTGTTGGAGGCACCGACGCTGAGAGTTGAGAAGCTGCACCGAGTGTGTTCATCGGTGATCCTTTCAAGGTAAAAATCAATAGGTAAATTGCCTTTAAACGCTGAGCGAATTAATACTACGCTGCTGATGAACCACCGCAAGTGAAAATTAGGACAAATGATACTGTTATAAGAACAAGAATGATTCCATAAATGAAAGGCATGGTTGTATCAGCCCTTTCAAATTTTGTTTTCCAAAACTGAAAATTTCGTACCTCGATCCGAAGTGTTTATCCCAACCCTAAAACTACCACCGTAAACCGCCACTACGGAATTTGGAGCGCTTAATCCCATGGTGTGACCTCTAGTTTATTCGAATTAGCTACTAAACCACTTAATTGGGTCTTGGGAGATAGTTGCTTAGCAACAGTTTCCACACTCAACGCTATACTGATCTCTCCAATCTGACTATATCTATATCTGTATACTACCTTGTAGATATACACTAAACCGATGTATTGACATTCACGTTCACCAACAATTAGACCTACACCTACCTTTAGTCTACTCTACCCCCTATTTGACGAATGCTATTAATAAACCTACTGGTTGAAGCTGTTTTCTGCTTATTGTTGGCGTAATGAAGACTAATAGATAGAAAGTACGGACCAAAGAACAGCTTGGGATTAAAATAAGAGACCAGACTACTTTCTCAAGGGAATTTTAGCCGTTTAACACTAGTCTCATATCTGCTAGGTTACTTCATTCATTCTAATTGCATGCTATTGTTTGCAGGAAAAACGGTAGTTATTAGTTGAGAAAAATGGGATACTTTCCTTACCTGATGAATTGCCATCAAAACACATCGACACATTTCCTGATCTACGTCGATTGAGGAGTGAATCCGAGTCATTCTTCGTATCATCAATACACTTGAAATCCAGGAGATACGACCTCGTATCCACTTGGTATAACTGCAGCATAATCTTGAAGTGATGTTGTAGCACGGGGTTCCATTTGCGTACGCGAATATTGAATGGCGTGATAACCTTCCACTCATAGCCCAGGGTGCTCATAGCACGAAAGACCTCCTGCATAATATCCCAGGGACGGGATTGTGACCGGATACCGAGGTGCCATTTGAAGCGTTTCGCCCCAGCGGCAGCTGCGGCACCAGCTGCCAATGCGGACGCCGCCGTTGTGGAAACAGATGTGGAACTCGGAGAACCAGCACCAGCACCACCAACACCTGGACCTCCGGCTCCTGCGATCCCTATTGCGCCTGAGGTTGCTGCTGGAGTGGCAGTCTAGGAAACAAAAATACGAGATAAATAAGGTGTTTAATACCTAATATGCATTACCGCAGCAAAAAACTAAAAACTAAACATTGAAATACCTTTCAAGCTAAGCTGTTCTTAACCTTTAAACACACTTATGTAAATGATGGTGCTAGTACACCGAATGGAGTATTTTCGGCTCACTAGATTAGGACTCGCAAGCTTCAACTTTTTCTTTGAAAATATTGGAAACTACTGCTCTTATGCACAATTCTTTCAAGGATTCAGAGTAACTACAGCTCTTGTAAAGGGATAATTGGGTGAAGTAAAAGAGAGGATTGAAAAATCGATCAGAATTTAAAGTTTTACTATAAAGAAAAGGGAAACAGTAATTGGGGAAGAAATTTCCTCCAATGGAAAAGTGATAGGAATTGAAAGCTGAGTGTCAATTAATCCGATTGGTGTCTTTTATGTAGTCATTTAATAGATAACCTTTATAGAAAATAATGAAGGAAGACGTAACTGTCATTAGCTTATCGAAGTTTAAGCAATAGGCACTAGATTTCCACCTCGACCATTGTAAAACTGGCTTATTTCACATTCCACTCTGTGATCAGTGATATTATTTCATCGGAGAATAATTCTAATTTAGTGAATAAAATGCTTACTCAACCGGAGTGCCTATAGGCTCGCATAGACAAAAAGTGGTTACGCCGTGTATCGATGAGGTGAAAAACTGGAAGGGGGGGGGAGAAAGAAAGTTAAATCCCTCTGTCATTTTCAGCAGCTAATAAGCCTTTGCGAATACTACAATTCGTTTATTACAGCGACTACCATCCTAAAGGTCAGTCACCAAATATCCACATGTACTGGTAAAAAGTTAATTATGAGGATCGAAGGCAAATTTCTAGATGCACATTCATAATGGAGGAAAGCATACACTACACATCTTCTACAGAGCTAAAAACAATAGCCATCTTTCTGATATGAACACAGCATAGATCACTTCACACCTCCTCTTAACTTCTACCCGAAGAATTTGTTTGGCACAGGCGAAATAAAAGTATTGCCATTTCTAAGTATCTATACAGTTGATGGTTTTATTAAGACAAATATGATAAAACGTTCAGTCTTATGCATTCCAAAGTAAATTGAAAATAGATAGGATTAAACGTAGATATTTTGTGGGTAATTGAGTAAAGGGACTCATTTCTTGCATTACTAAACTTCAAACACGATTGAAAGATGTGCATTAGAGAGTAATTATGTATGGCAAATAAAAATGATGTGAAAAAGTGCTGATAGATCGACGACAACAATCCAAAGATGATCTACCAACCAACCAGTGGCTATTTGAGAAGGACGGCAGTAATATTCCATGAAATCATGTCATATGAGGGTAACAAGAAGATGAGATAAAAAGGCTACTTGATTCGTTTTATGCGCAGATGGAGTAGGGTTTTCTTGATAAGCTGACCATAATTCCGCCACAAATTACTTGCACTTTAATAAATAAAAATAAAATCCGACTCGAATGAATCCACAAGCAGTTATTCAGCCATCTCAAATTTGCTCAATAAAGGCGATAGCTTACCACAGCAGGATCAATAGGATCCAGTGCACGAGTGAGAGGTTGTCCCTCGGGCATCCTCTCTGGATGTGGTCGGTTGGGTGAGAGACCTGGACCATGATGTTGGCCTGCACTTGAAGTGATTGATGAGCTGTTTCCGCCACAAGTTCCTGAACTTTCCGTTGTGGCCACGTAAAAGTTGTCCACCTCTTCAGGTTGCAAAACCGATCCAAAACGTCTAAAATGGTTTATAAACAAATTCAAGTCAAAAAGCGGTGCCGTTTCATCGAAAGAGCATCGGTTTCAGCAATAACTCCCCCCTCCCACGCAAGTTAATAGAGCTTAAAGTGGAAACGTAAGTTTTAATTAAATAAGCGAGGAGGAAATTATGGATTATTGGGAGTGATAGAAACGCGGCTCTGTATCGCCCGTTTATTATGCAAAGTAGGACTTGAAGTTTCTTTAGGAAATCCATGTTCAAACAGTTGCTCAAAACACTTGAGACTCCATTATTACGAACCAAATGACACAAAAAGTTCACACTTTGTTTGCATATGTTTAAAAAATGGCTCATATAATTCACAAAAACTGGTTTTCAAAGTTTATAATGCGGTGATAACAAAAACAGTAATGAGCGTTTGTATAGGAAGTACCTTCGATTCAAGCCATTAACGCTTAACTCAAACCTCAGCGATAATTTCGAGTTACTTCACACGGCTGAGAGACTTTAGAAACGATGCGACGAAGAATAATAAGCAGTCAAGTGACCAATATAGAAGAGAGGCATTTCCTTGTTTCAATAATAATAATAATGCTTTTACATCCGTGAATCACTCTTCTGTTCCCCCTCTCGACATTTTGACTTTGATGCTCCTCCCCCTTTGTGAAACCCGAAGTTCACTAAAGGGGTAATGATGACTATGATAGAGCCTGCCATTTGAAATAAATAAATGTATGCCGATAAAACCACAAAAAGGGTGTCTATTTTTGCGACTAATATTTGACCACAAAAATAAAATTATACCTTCAGCTTGTAATCTCAGCTATGATAAAAAACCGCGTTGGAAATTTGAACCACCAGAGCACGAAACAATTAAGCGCCGAAATAAGTGGCACGTTCTTGACACGAGGACTCTAAAGCCACTTTCTTCTCCTAATGCCCATAGTTCAATGCCATGCATTCTCATGTGTTCCCCCACCTACAAATGCCAATTTGTTGGGAGAGTGGTGGAGCCATAATTTTCAATCTCAGGGCATAGACTACATTTCGTTTTATAAAAATTTGAACAATTGTAAAGTTTCATTCTTGAAAAAAAACTATCCAAGGCAACTTACAAAAAGACGAGTCTCAACAAAAGATAATACCCAAATTTCACAGACAAGATCTTATAAAGAGGGAATAATGATCACTGTTCGAGATCGAAAGCCAAAATGGTCAAATTTCACTCGCATTTCACTCTCTCATTTTCTTTACTGAGCATTTAGACTAAACCAAAATAACCTATTAGTACAAAGAAATCCCTTCAATTATTACCAGTTAAAAGCATTATCCCAAAACCAGATTGAACATAGATCTAAATAAATGCTACCAATCGACACATCAAGAGCAGCTCACATAGGTATTTCCAACTTGAAATACAAAAATAGAGTTAAAAGTACGAAGGGAGTTGAACAGCATCTCATTTGATAAAAGTGCCTGACATTTCACAACTACGGGGCGTGAACGCTCGCACGCACACACACACATGATGGAGTCAGTCAACGTACCACAGAAATGAATAATTTAAGCAGAGGCACTACATCTATTATCAAACCAATGCTTGCACCACATAGAGGAGCTTTATTGAAAATGAGGATGGGTAAAGGGAGGAGAGCATAATGAAGTACATAAACAGTATTAGATCGGTGGCTCAGTGCCCAAATCTGCCCAATCAGGGGTCATCATCGCACATCACATTAATGTAAATGAACACTCACATCGAGGGGCAAGCTTTAAAAAATGGCATTGCAATGTAGGTTCCTCATAAGGGTGACTTCAGGATACCCGCATCGCCTTAATAGACTCCTATTTCACAATGAAGAAATAGAACGCTCAACATTTCGCATAAACAAACATGCAAGAGAGAACCCTAACTAATATAGAGTTTGATTGAATCGCAAATTTTCCAATATCCTTTTCCTCACAACTTTTAAGTTTCTAAGCTGATAGAAGACTTAAAATCTTCGTTCAGAAAATACGCCACTGGAAGTAGGAAAGAATTCCAACCAATCAGAATTGTCATAACCAGACAAACTTTAAGGTAACTTGTAGCAAGAAGGCTGGACTTGACAATTTATTATTAATTACTCCTAAAATTCGAATAGTTATTAAAATGAGCCAAGTCATATAGGCGTTGAGATGCTGAATGTTGAGTAATTAGATGAAACTAAGGATCCCCGCTCTGGTTTAAGGGCATACTCCAGATTGAGTCGGATATGAACGAAATCGTAAAAGCATGGACGCAATAAATAACTAGTCACTCCTTGCCGCCAGCTGCTCATACGATCTCATACGTGAACATTCTGATAGGGGTAGGTGGTTCTAAGTTGACTTCGGGGAATTTTTAGAGCATATTCGCCAAACTTTTAACATCTCAAAATAGCAAAGGAATAATTTAATGTACGACAATTGCTTAGCAGACTGGTCCTGTTTAAGTATAAAGTCACATTTTACAATTTGAGCGGATTTAAATTTTTGGGCCAGTACTGAACTGCTAAGACAATTTGGATAATACAGATAACCTTTGCCGAAGGGAAATAAACTTGATGGAAGACCTCCTCAACTGCGGTGTGACGAGGAGTTCGAGAAGTTGAACTTATTTATTTATATTAAATGGCAGGCGTCTTGATGGCAATCATAAGCCCTTTAGTTGACTTCAGGCCTCACAGAGGGGAAGGAACATCAAAGTGAAAAAAGTCGAGAGGGGGGGGGGGAGGAACAGAAGAGTTTCAAAGACGAAGTTAGAAAAGGTAGGAAAAAGGTTAGGTGGGTACTGTGAAAGATGTCGAATATGACATACAGTGGGGTGATGGTAATTTGAAGTCAGAAGCCAACTGCCGGTTTAAAGACTTTTTTGCCGTATGAGTATACGTTGCCCAGGGTGCACCACGTGGAGGTAAGTCTACCGCACACCCCAGAAGTTGAACTAATAGAGCGCCCAAAGAAATCTCGTAATCCAAGCCGCACATCGTATAAAACGGCATAAATGTAGTTCAAGAACACCCAATTAGAAAAGTGTTCTCGTGAAAGAATAAGGCTTGACAATAACACTGCATAACAGCAATTTTCGTCCCCCAGGAGACCGATTGCGATGCTCTATTAAAAACCCTTACAAACACTATTAATTTGCTTAAATTATACAGGCACTCAAAATTTTCGTTAAGCATCTCCTCAGAAATCTCATTAGCTAGAATCGTCTCGGACGCG